AGGAATGGAGATGAGACAAGAGCTTATCAGAAATGATGATACTGAGGGGAGGTCCTGGGGACCGAGTAATCACCAACTCCTACTGAAATGCTTAACTGAGGGTATGTGTTATCATTTCACCAGTCCTTTGGAAGTAAAAATTTACTTATTTTTGACAGCTGAATGACACTGCTTTAGGTTTCCCTTGGTTTAATCTCAATTTCATTTAAATACAATAGAAAAACTCCCACTGGCTCAAATGTTATGACTGTTACTAACAGATTTCACACTCTGAGCTGTGCACTTGGAGAGGCAGAAGAGGCTATTGACTCCTCATAGTCTTTGCACCAGCCCTATGTGGGCTGCAGAAAACACACATTATCTGCCTGCAACCCTGTGGGAAATGCACCAAGAAAATTATTCCTGACATTGCTCATTTCTGCAAACAAAAGGAGCTGAGCTTTCCTGACAAGACAGAAATGGATGGGAACTCAAAATTCACCAAATGATGAAAAGCAATAAATCAGGGCTTCAAGTAATCCATGTAGTTGATTTTGCAAATCTCATCTGTTCACTGCCAGGTGCCGCAGAAATACAGTAAAGCCAGGCAAAGTTCAAGACGCCTTTGTCGCTAAATTCAGCGTATCTCTTTCACCGTTTTAAAACTAAGATAACCTCCCATTTTCAAAATTCCTTTTATATTTGTGAGGGCAGCTGAACAGCCCTGCAGACACATCCTCTAGCCACTGAGCAGATATAACAGGAGTAGTAACACTTCAAAGTTTGTTACGTTTCCTTGCCTGCTGACTAACTCCTAGAAATGAACCATTTCTCATGAGAAAAAGCTACTTATTTTCATGCCTGTTCAGCCTCCAGCCTTTTTACCAAGACTTCCAACAATGTTATCATTGAGTGTGAATTCTAACAGGGATTTCTGTATTTGTTGTGGAACTTGTCTCAGAATACTGCACAGTCCTTGTGTAGATGTCAAAAGCAAAGGACCAGAGATGAAGAACTCCATGTTTTATGTTTAATTCTGAAATGTGAAGCACATCTTTACAGATCAGTGGCCCTTTGCCATTCTTTGCTGAAATATGCATGGCAAATACACTTTTCAATGAAATTTAACCTGTGATCTTTTACTTCTGCTTGTCCTGCAGTTTGCTGGTGCAGGGGCATATGGATACTGAAGGCTGGAGCTCTTCCTTCCTTTCATGCAGATTCCCAGCTCCTGGAGACAACAGTGAAAATTTTGGTAGGCAACAACAGAACTAGCCTCTAATTTTTACCTCTTTATTTTTTAAAGTTGCCTGTTTATAAATTCTGGACAAATACTTGACTGAGAATTGGTACATTCCACTGCTTTGTAACCAACTTCTTGCCCATCTTAAAATAAGTCTTGCTTTGGATTTCATTGGCTGGCATACAACTACATTTGTATCTTGTACTGCACAGTGCACAGACCGCTCACTTTCACACAGTGGTTCAAGGGAGTGTAGGCTGATATCACGTACAATACTACAAATGTGTAGTTTGCATAGGGCTAGGAATTCCAAATTATCCAGTATAAAAGGCTCTTCTTTGTGCAGCAAGGCTATTGTAGCTTAGTGCCATCCCTTTGTCTTTAAGCAAATGCTGTCTTAAGAGAAAAATAATTTCAACAGACTCTTTCGTTTGTACCTCCTGTGTACCATCATGATACTCCTACCTGCACAGGTGAAAGTGCCAATAAGATCACTGTATCCAACGTTAAAATGATTGTGTTTGTTTGTCATTAATGACAATATTATATATCTAGAGAAATCTGGCTTTTGAATCTTAATATTCATGTTTTTGTAAGTCTTATTTAAGTTCATAATGCAGTAGCGTCCTTTATTGGGTTACCTGCATATTTAAAACGATCAACACATGCACATCTAAGGAGGGAGATCAAAAACCGAGAAAATTAGAATTATCTCATAAGCATACCTTTGTACTCCTCAACAGCTACATGCCAGCCACAAGCAGCTTTCTTTTTTAACTATTTCAACTATTATTTTAAAAAGTAAAAAGTGCCACATGATACCCTTGCTGGGGATACTGAGGCTGATGGGCTTTCCTGAGCTGCCTTACTTTGCTACTGGAGTGCGCTGCCTCTACCAATTGTGCTGTGCAGCTTTCCTGCCCTCTGGGTGGAGTTTCGCTTGCACTCCTTTCCTTCCCCAACCTGTCTGCAAACACAGCTGAGCTAACATGAAGTTGGAAGCAAAACATATCCCAGATAAAGGGCTTGTACCTCCCACTGGAGAAAGGGAAGGAATCCAACACCAGAGAGTGCCGGTTGTGTCTTAGCGTGCTCTTGGGGGCAATGTAACTATCTGCTGCCCCTTTCTCAGGGTATGACATGATTTGGCCATGTGTAAATAGTCAAAATGCTATATTTATAGGAAACACAATGCCTTGCTGCTGTGATAGTTTAAATATAGAGAACAGGCCACTACTGGCATTTAAAATATCACTAGCTGGACAAGATAGTGCAATCAGAAAATAGCCTAAGCTTTTACTTGGATTCTGTGTACAGGCTTTTCATATCCCTCTTGCTACTTTTAAATGAGTTGAAACAGTGACTTTCAGTGACTTGGGATTATTTGAAATAAATTCTGTAATAAATTAAATGCTTGAAATTTACTCAAAATGAGTAACAGGCAGCTTTCTTTTTTTTTAAATTAAAATCTTTGGGGTATTTTCCTTTTTTAAAGTGGCTTCTGCAAATACAGTGTGTGTATTTGAACACCTTGTATTCCACAGCACATTTACTGCTTGTTGTATGTGGCTGTATTTGAGAAGTAATGTGATATAATGTAATTCTTATCGCTAGTATTAAAACCCCGATTACTTTCTACCTGAGTTTCAAAGCCAAGTTTCCACAGTTCGTTAGCCAGGGTCAAGCCACAGACCAGCTAGTTCTGTACTGCAGAAATGCAAGTTAATGAAGAATCTTTCTCCTCTCCTCTGCCACGATTGGTACCAATGCAAGGAAGCGAGCAGGCTCTGCAAAGAGGTCAGAAGCTTACAGGGAATGGGTGGAAAATCTTCATCTGCTTCCTCCTTTGCTACTCCCTCCTCCCGGCCCATATGCAGAGTCTGTAGCTATGCTGATGTGTCAAGACGTATACGCCGGACTGGGTGTAAATTACTCTTGAGCAAGAGGAAACAAAGAGAGACTATGACTCAGAGCAACAGTCTTCCAGCCAGGCAGCTCCAGGGCAGCCAAATGTGCTTTCCCTTATTAGGCCAGAGCATGAAACCTTGCTTCATTTTGAGTGGTACCTAATTCTGCAGTAGGATCACTCACTTTAATAATCGGCTTTTAAAGTACAGCTTAGCAGAATGTAACTCTACCTTTAGCTTTGCTTCTTTAAAACAAACCATTTGACTCCACCTACTCTGACCAACATTGAGTAGTATAACATGAATCAGGCTCCATTAGCAGCAATGACATGTTTTAGAAGGATAGCACCTGTTTAATGTCTTGTAAATTGTATGGGTTTATGACTGTAATCTGAATTTCCACATTGCCATCTCAGCTAATGAGGTGTTTTTGATCTGAATTACTTGAGTGGGCTACTAGGAACAACCAGAGACAGGGCCTCACACCTCCCACAGACCTTGCTTATAGCTTAGGTTTAAGAACTCATAGCTGATTTTCCTCGATTTAAGTATTTCTTTTATATGATGTCAGAAACGTGTGCCCACAACTGAAATGTAATCCTGCAGGAGGAATGTGTCCCTGAAGCGAGTTCATACAAGAATTATGCAGGCAGATGAACTTTCACACTTCTGCTAGAATGCCTACAACACTGCTCCAAAAGCTACAGTAGCCAAATGGTGACAAGACATCGTGTATTTTTACATGGTGGTGTTGACAATCAAAATGAAACTAAAACATCAGCCTTCTGCCTACAACTGAGCAGTCAGTTCACAGCCCAACTGTTACTTCAAAACACTTGTTGCATTACAATTTACATGCTATATTGTTATTTTAAAATAAAGTGACAGTTCTAGATGACCACTCTCAACCTGCCTCTTAAAAACAGGTCCCGATGGGTTTAAACCTATGTTCCCATCTAATGTCATGATTCAGAGTGTAATTCAGTAAGTAATCAATTGCCTTGAGCAGCTATATTAAAGTTTTCCTTACAGTTTTCCTGTAAACATGTGCTATCAGGTAAAAAAAAACATCTGTTCATTTCACAAATGCAAGTCAAAATTTACAAACCTAACTTCTGGAGTTTTGGGTAGGACTCCTTCCTCCCTTACACTTGGTTCTGCGCTGGTCTGATTCTGCTGCTTTCATTTCACATGGATATAAAACATACTTCAGCTGCATCCCTTCCCTAAGTGTGAGTTGCTGATCACTTAGAGCAGCCGTAAAGTATTGCTTAAACTGTTCAAAAAATGAAAGCACTACGTCTTAATCATATTGGCCTATGAATACAAAGTGTGTAGGGCTAGAAATTCAGAAGCAGTTGTTAATAAAAGGCCAATGACAATGCCATAAATGTTAATTTATTTATAGGGATTTCTTCATGTTATTTCTGTTAAATGGGGACTCCCAGGACAGAGGGAGGAAAAAAAAAAAAAGAGGAAATGCCAAACCAAATTCTTTCCTCAAACCTACGTATGTGATAGAGCCAGCATTAAAAGGGAGCAAGTGAATGGAAAAAGGCATATTTGGATCCTGAAGAGAAAGCAGCTGTCAGACTTCAACGACAATGGCATACTAAAAGAACTCTCTATGTTTAGAAGACTGTATTTGAAACCCATTACTGCCCTTACATTTCCAGCTTATAAAATCACAAGACTTAAATTAGGCTTCTATATTATTTTATTTCCCTCTTAAAATATAGCATCAAAGTCCTGCACACATATAAATATCCCTACAGTTTCTTACACACTTTCTATCCGTCATTACTTAAAGTGCCCAACTGTGAACATTAAAAATAAAAACATTACTGTTAAGAGTGGCTACACTTAAAGAAGGACCGGTATTCTGACAATGCAGGCCACTGATTTTACAAAAATCACCTGCAAAAGAATACACCCTAAACAACACGCATCAATATTAACCCTGAAGTAGTTTATTTAATTTTTCCATTCAACTGATCTAAAAGTGATTAAGGTACAGGGTTTATTTTTGAAACATGTCTTTTACATAGTGTAAGAATAAAGGATAAATGCATTATTTTCTTTCTAACTCCCTCCTTCCCCCACGAAGTGTTTACTGTGTCCCAAGCTGCTATGTTGATTAAAAACCAGTTGAAAAGAGCTCTGGAAATGCATGCAACTTAAAATTCACTTAAACACACTTTAAGTTATACAGTCTGAGACATTTTAATTTCAGCACGGGGCTATGGTGCAGTTGGATTATTAGATGTGTTTGTCGTGGTGGCGAGATTGGTAAACACTTCTTCCTTAGTTTCAGGCTGATGTCTTTCCATTTTGGTTTCCTCCTTAGCATCTTTATTATTGGCATCTCCCTTGCTCTTGACTACCACAGGTTCAATCTCCATGATTTCCTGTGGTGGCTTAGGCTCTGGCAAATTTGGCTGAAGTCCATCGACTTGAACTGGCTCTGGGACATCTTCTGCTTTCTGTTCAAGTCTTTCCAAAATGTTCTGGACCTTCCTTACACCATCCCTCCTGGCCTGGCGCACATCCGCACGACCCTCAGGGTCCACTGAGTCTAGGGCTAGCAACTCTTTGGTCAAATATTCTTCAATCATCAAGTATTTTTTGTCAGTTTTCTTGCCTTCAAAGGAGTCGACTGCCTGCTCAAGCATTTGTACATTCTCCAGAATTGCCTCCACTTTCAAAACACCAGGATGCTTTGGAGGTTCTCCTGTTTCCATCGTCTTCAGTGTTGCCGTTTCTTCAGGAGGAGGCCTCTCCTGTGGAGGGGGCATCTTAGGTGGGCAGGAAACCTTTTTCTCAGCTTTCTCTGCCATGGCTGGAGGCTTCTGGGGTGGTCGTTTAGGATCGGGTTCTTGCTGGGTGACCTGAACTGGTGACGGCGCCTCAGGTTCAGGTGCTGGGACTGCCTTGTTTTCAGGTTTGATTTCAGGCGGTGGGGGTGGTCTTGGTGGTTCTTGAGGTGGGACTTGTTGCTGAGAAACCTGGTGAGCAAGGCAAATTTGTGTTGAGATACAATGAACAACGCTCCTTATTTTTTTTTTTAAAGAACAAGTCACCTAACATTCAATGCATCCATTTTTGCACATCAGGTGAGTAATCTTTCCTGTGCATTGCTGAATTCTGCCCTTTTTAAATAAAAGCAAAGTGCTGAAGAGTTCAGTTACTGTTTTCAAGTTACTACAGATTACAAGCACCATGTCTCAAAGACATTAAACTTCAACCTACCGAATCCTGCCCATGCTCACTAATATCAGCTGTACAAGCAGTTTTCTAAGATAGTACCTTAGAGCAAAACCCTCACCTGACTTCAGCCAGTGAGATTTGCTGCAGCTGGCCTCAGCATGGTGAACATTTCATCCTCAGTCTGCCACTAACTTAGAGCTGGTGTTTCTTGAAAAGCCAACCACTTTGCTGAGTTTTAGTATTTTGGGCTACTGTCATCCTGTTCCTGTTACCATAACATTCTTTTCCCCCCACTAGAGCTTATTTTTACTGATTTTATCTTTAGAGTATTTACATGCAGAGGTTACTGTGTCAATCTTATTACACTGTAGCTATTAGAGACAATCCCTGGGATTACTACAGATCTAGCAGTCATCAAATCAGAAATCGCTTGAAATTGAGATTAGCTTTAAAATCTTAGCAGAAAACTGGAATTTGTCAGATCTGTATTTTCCTTCCCCTGCCACCCCCTTCACTTACTTGTGCACACATACAATGGTTTTGATAAGGTATTAGATCCAGCTCTCATGGATTTACAATGCTGAAGTAAAATCATGGAACTGTTTGGGTTGGAAGGGACCTTAAACCCCCCCAGTCCAACCCCCCATGGGCAGGGACACCTCCACCAGCCCAGGCTGCTCCAAGCCCCGTCCAACCTGGCCTTGGGCACTGCCAGGGAGGGGGCACCCACAGCTTCTCTGGGCAACCTGGGCCAGGGCCTCACCACCCTCACAGTAAGAGCTTCTTCCTACCTACATTTATATTTAAACCAAATAATAACGGCCTGCACAATCTGCTATTGCTTTACCCATTAAACAGAATCTTATTAGGGAGCTCAAATTCTCATCCATAAAAATAAATTAGCATTATAACTTAAAACATGCCATTGAATCTCAAGTCTTCATTGTTTTGTCCTAGCACGTGGGTTTTCAAAAATATTACCCTAATTCTGCTCCTGTAACTTTCAATCCAAAATGTCCCCAGAGAGGAAATCAGGGCTTGTTTTTATACATACCCCCTTCCACACACTCACAGTTGTCAAATTCCCAGTAGTGTTTAACTGTAGTTTTAGAAGGAATTTTAACATGGAGAAAACGTTCAATGAGCAACATGTTCTGTGAGCAAGAGCGCGCTTCACGTAGGAGGAATAAAGAGCTCCAAGACTCAATTTTGCTGATCCTTTCTTCATAACTAAAATTACTTTGTGCATCTGATGCTACCTTAAATGGTTCTGAGACATCAGTGAGTATTTACAGTATTTACATAGATGTCAGGAGTCCCACGGACCTGATTTTCTTCTCACAAACATAATGCAACATCAGTGACCTCAGTGTAATTACACCAAATTATACTCTGATGAGAGGAAAATCGAGCCATGTACTAAATCATGTTTCAGTGATCTAAAGACTCTACAATCCTGATAGATGTGAAGGCAGCTTGCTGCTAAATACTGTCTCAGTATCTCCCCATTTGTTTAAATGCAGAAATGGATGCTGCTTTGCTTGCTTTCATATACATGTTAGTACAAGCTGATTTTTCAGCTTTAGCCACACTGAACAAGACTCCTGGCAGGTAATTCCCATCCTGTTCTCCGTACCTGGGGTCTGTCTACAACCGTCTGCACTCTGATGGAGGCTGGGGTTTGTATCTGGGTGGTAACTCTGGCCGGTGAACTTTCGCGGCTCGACCAGACTCTCGGTTGCTGGGGCCGGGAATCTTTCGCGGCGGGGGGAGCCTCTCTGAGACACTCGGAATGGAGACTGCGCTCGCGCCGGCTTAGGCTCCCTCTCATCTGGTTGAATTTTGTGAAACACTGGCTGGTGGGCCTGGTACTCGCTCTGCTGGGCAGGGTAGTGCGTCTTCTGCGCCTGATGGTAGACTTGCGTTGGTTGCCGTTGGATATTTTCGTGGATCACAGGAATTGGAATATAACCACGAGGAAGCTGGTGGCTTCCTGCATTGGGTCTGCCAGAGGACTGAGGGGAAACCGTTGGAGAATCAGAAGCTCCAGAAGATTGAGGCTGCCATGAAAACAAAATGCACTGTTAGATTTTAACCACAGTACTTTTCATTTCCAAAGAAAAGAGGAGGAGATGGTCACAGAAACTGAACTCGTGTTTCCGGCATGCAAAGGATCCACTTCCTTGTTTTTTTTGGGCAAGGGCCTCACTAGACAAACCACAGAAGTTGTGAGAGAGCATCATTATAACAAGTAGAAACCTGAGCTACAGCATTCCCAGCCCTCAAATAAGCAGGGAGTGGATGCTCAGTCAGAATGTTTGCTGCTTTTGCATGGCTGTTCCTGTCTAAACCTGTTAAATTTGAGGCAAACTAAAGTTAAGCAAACAAATTATATGCTGGAGACAAAAACAAAACCCTAATAGAGGCACACAACATTCAGACTTCTGATCTCAGTCATACCAGTAGATTTGGTTTGTTTTCGTGTGGTTTTTCAGTTTGTGTTTTTTTGAGGGGTTTTGTTTGTGGGTTTGTTTTTTAAAAACCATGTCATCCGGTAGCAGGCTAAGCAATGCACATATGGCTAATGCCCTCTTTTTGCCTCAAAACCTTCCAACACCTTATCCTCTCAGCACTGGCAGCAAAAGCTGCACTAGCTTGGACATGCTGTTAGCAGGACTGAGCACCGAACGTGCCGCCAAATCCCATTCCCAGCGTGTTCCAGGTTGTGGGGCTGCAGTTTGGGGAAAGGCAGTCGATTTGCTCACAGCTCTCTCCCTCCTCCTGCTATGCCAATCCATCACCTCACCCACTTTGCACCAACTCCAGCAGCTGCCAGGCTGTTCTCTGACCAGTTTCACTCACTAAGTAACAGCGGAAAAAGTTATTTCCTGATGCATTTGTTACACAGCTCAATGAAAGGCCAGGTCAGGCTGGAGCAAGACTACACATCCAGAGGCCACAGAAGGGCAGGCAAGGCAGGAGAAGGGGAACAAGACCCTTCTTTTGGTGCTGGTGAACTGTTGAGCTCAGCTTCCCATCGAACAGCAACGTTAAATAAATAAATAGATGGTGGTTTGCGTTATGGTACCCATCACTGCCACTACTGGTGGCCTTTGTCGACATGGGGATTAAAGGCACCATCACAGGCTCTGGTCAGTTGCTGAAGTTCGTAACGCCAAGTTCTGCGTCCTCAGAAGCTATCTCAGAGGACTTTGGTAAGAGGCACAGAAGACACGTGCTCCTGAAGTCACTCTGCATGCAAGACAAAGCTGCAGAGTGCTGGGAGAAGGAAAAGCCAAGCCTCTTGTCCTGGTACTGCACGGACAAGGCATTGTTAGTCAAGACAGCTGAGAAACCGGCTGACAGCATTTTAATTACGTTCTTCAGACTCCAAACAGGTTTCAGAGAAAAAGCCACCACTGCTGAATTACAGACCTGATGACATTTTCAGCTTGGTGAAGGCTGAATTTCCTGCTCATCTTACTTTGATTAAAAATGAGGTTGATACTTCCATGTATTACAAGAATACCAATTCCGCTGATTCTCTAGAGAACAGGCAAACCAAAATCCTACTTTCTGAAATGTAAAGCAAGCAGGGTGACTACTGTTTGGTTTTAAAAGACATTCATAGTTTGAAAATATTTTACCATGTCACTGAATGACAGAACTACTTTACAATTCACTTTTAAAGCTGTATATATGTAAATCTATACACTTAATACAACTATTAAACTGGAAAGCAAAGGTCACAGCACTACAACTTCTAAAATGGCCTTGGCCTTTAGCTAACTGGCCACTTTTTTCCTCGCTCCCCCTTTGTTCACTTCAGTTTCTGACTCGTGGTGCAGAGTACAGAAACTGGCTTGTACCCTCCACTTGTGAGGGAACCAGTATAAACCCTGAAATAATCCTCCCCTTCCACAGCACCTGCACAGCTCAGAGGGTCCCTTTTCGCAGAAGCCATTTACACGAGTGTATTTCTGCAGAATCATTCCAGCATGAAAGTGAGCGATGCTAGAAAACCCCTACATATTTATGCTCCCGTGACTTTGCCCTTTTGCATTTCAATACTCTGGAAGTATTGGGAAAATGTAATCCTGTGGTAAGGCTGGCTTTCTGAAGGATAAACTACCCGTGTGACATTCAGGTCATAAACGCTGCAAAGACCAATGCAAACACACCCCAGCCACACTGACGAGTTACCTCGGGTCCATGTGCGGCCGGCGCTGGGGCTGCTGCAGCTGCTGTTGTCTGTCCACATTGTTTATCAGCCTGAGAAGCCTCTGCTGGTCCCCTTGGAGGGGACTCGGGGCTGGCGTAGGCCCCTCTCAGAGGTGGCTGTGCCTGCACCGTGGTAGGCACAGCTTCTGTCTTGAATCGCTGCGGAGCAGAAAAGCACGGATGCTGCTGTCTGCCATCGATGCCCTCGTGGATGACGGGAATAGGGATATAGCCAGCCCGGAGCTTGGGGTATCCCATGGTTCCTTCTCTTGCTGGCGGCTGCTTGGGGCTATCGCGAGATGGACCATTTGCTGACGACTGGCCTTCCTGGAAGTTAAAAACATCACATAGCACTTTTTGGTAGCTCGGCTCAATCCAAACACTAAGAAAAAGCTGTCCTAAAGGTCTGTCCTAAAAGCAGGATCAGCTTGTGTATGAGTTTAGACCCTCTTGGGTCCATGCAGGGCAGCAAAGAGCAGGTGCTAATGCTCCAGACCTACAGGCAAGGGAAAAGAGGAAGCTAAACAATCTGCTTATGTATGAGGTTCAAACTTATGCTTTAAAAAAACAAATTACAAGAGGATTTCTTATTTAGCAAGCATTGCTTGCATTTAGCCACCAGCCCACCCCCTTCAGATGGAGCTCCTCCAATTCAAACAAGTGCCCATGGTACCAGAGGCATTTCCTTAGCACCTCTCAGAGCCCACTCGGTGTTACAGATAACATTTGAGAAGATACTTGCAGGGAAGCCTAATGTTGGTATTGTTGAAGCGCAATGTTGGTATTGTTCTTCCCCTGGCTATCTGAAGAGTTCCTAACGCTGCATACTGAAGAACGTATTTGCTTTCAGCCAGGGGAGGATCTGGTTCAGTGAATATTGACGGAGAAGAAGACAGGGTAGCGTAACGAAGAGGAAAATGCTGAAAAGCAAGGCTAAATAAATCCCTGCGTTGCCTGCGTACACTCACAGGACAATGTCAAAGCTCTGGCAGGGGTGGAAGTGGTTTGTACCAAGAGCCCTCACAAGTCCTCTAGTAAGTTCTTCCTGCATCGGTCATTCTATTTTGAGGCCCTGCGAGGGCCAAGTTCCAGATGTATCTCTAAGTCAGATCATGTAACAAGCACCTCTGTCATTCAGAGGGTAATGTCATTATTCAGTAAGAGGAGAATTTAATAAGGGGACATATGGTGCAAGTGTTGGAAACCCTATTTTTAAAGAGGTGTTTAAGCTGCAAAAATATTTCACGTCACTCGGGTGCACATTAATCTACTAATTCATTAAATGTTCTACTAACCAGATTTTCGAATGTTCTTCCTAGATTACAGTATCCCATTAAAAAGTAATTTCTGAGAATTCCTGTGAGCAATGAAACTGCAGAGAATAATGGCTTTTCTTTAGGTAAGCTAATAAAGATAACAAGTACTGAAAGGAACAAGTTCAAAGTCAGAGGCCCCGATGTTGCACTCCCTTTCACTCATTAAAAAACCCGTCATAAACAAAGGAAAAATTCTGAAGGAGGCACAGAGGAGAGCCAGGCCGAGAAAGTTTGCACAGAGAAGTAATTTGAAGTTGGCTTTTACGGTTGCAGAACAAGGATGATCTCATGCCAAGGTCTGCACCAGGATCCACCACCAACCGATGAGTCATTTTAAGTCATTTAAAATTCACCCTACCAGGAAACCACATTCCTCTGCTCAACACAGGCTGTCTCAGGGCGTCAGGACCCCAAGTAGCAACAAGCATTTGCCAGTTCACCTTCTACCAGCATAACCCCGAATCTACAGCACTCCCAGCAGCCATCTCTGCCAGGATCTGGAAGGACGTGCAGTTACGCCAGCAAACGGCATTTGCCGGAAAATAAATCTGAGGTGCGCTCAGCTCGGAACAATGCAAAGGCCGCGTTGGAGCCAAACGTCTGATGGGCGAGTGGAGCCACGCAGGCTGCCGAGCGGGGAGGGAAAGTGATGATTCGACACTCGGAAGAAGCACCTTGCTGCTCCGCGCTGACTCCACGCATTCTGCGCCCAGCACGCCCCAGCTGCTCCGTGCAGTGCCCCTGTGCCGTGTCCCTGATGGAGGGAGCAGGCTGCGGGTGTAACTCGAGCAGTCGCAGCCACCCCACCTACAGGCACGGCTCCCACGGCTATAAAAAGGAGATTCACTCACTTCCAGCCTTGTCAGAGTCCCTGCACGAGGGGTTGGTGCTGGGAAGGGTTTAGGAGCTGGGTGGGCCAGCAGCATCTGCAGATGCCCTGTCATGAGAAGGCTCTCGGCCACAGGTGCTCCACTCCTTGGTGTGCAACAAATCTGCCCTCGGGCATTAGGTGCCAGCTCCACTCTCTTGGCATTGAGCTGCTCCACTTCAGGATAAGCCCTTCAATCTTCTGGAATAATCCACAATGATAAACCCTTGCCAAGGCTTCAACATGGACAGTGTCCCACTGCCCGCCCTGCCATGAACCCCCTAAGAGTGTGACCGTGGGCTTCCCCTCCCTTGTCTTCACTTTCAGACCCTTGAGGCTGCCCTTTTTTTGAACCATCCTAGCAACCTGAGAAATCTGACTCTGCAACCTAAACCCTGCTAAGAAATACAAAAGCAGCAGCCCAAAAAAACAAAGAAAAAACAGGTTGGACTGCTTTTTCACACCATTCAGTTTACATCTGAAGTTAAACTTTTGGCAAGTTTTTCTTTTTTTTAAATGAAAACACTGACCCCTCTTTAAGAGCCACAGCCTAAACTACACTCTCATAATTTGTCATTGATGCTTACAGCATCAGACAACCTGTGCTGCTCCTGTGGAGTTTGTATTTTGAGTTGGACCTTTGCTCTATGTTTTTTTCCCCTGTAGTCAGATCTGCAAACCACAGAGGAATTTCTGTATGTGTCTTAACAGCGCAGTAACATTGGAGCAGTCCTCAGGAAAGGAACAAATGCAGCATCCCTTATTTTTCCACCATCAGCAGCCCTGAGGCAGAGAGGTCAGATTTGGGAAAGCTGCTCTCACCACAACTGCTCTTCCTGGTCCACACTGTTCTCTTCAACACTTCATGTTTTATTTGGTTTACATCCCCAGCATTCCTTCTTCTTTCCTCTCCCCTTTCTCCCCAGGTTCCTATGTCCATGAACACGCACAATCCCTGTACTTTGAAACACCTGCACTGAGGAACACCACCACAGCACCATGACTGAAGACTAAAGATGCCTTGGGTGCAGTAGATGGCTGCTAGCAGTTTGGGTTCATTTTTAGTGAGAATCCAGCACAACCACGAGTGCACATGGCTCCCAGTACCCCCAGTCAGGCTTTTGGCCAAAGCACTCTCACCTCTGTGCAAGGAAGCCTTCCTGCACTTCCAGCCTGGACAAACAGGTTTGGGAAACTTCAGGAGAAACTCAGGTGTGTCTGGGGACACTGCAGCAAGGGGGGAGGAATGGAAGAGTCTGAAAAACTCTCATCCTAATGCTATGGAGAAGGGATTCATGGATTCCCTCTGCTTTAATTCTTAAATTTTGCAGGATAGCCAACCAGGAGACCAAAAATGCCTTTTTTTTAAATTTGCCTTCTACCCAATACAGTTCTTGCTTGTTATATTAACATGTTACCTGAAAAAGCCCAGAACTCACATTGAACACTAATCTGCACAAAGAGATATGACCATTAAATAAATGACAAGCCTTAATCCCTTGCCCTTCCAAGTTTAAGTATAGAAAACAGGAACCCAACTCAATTCCTGCACTAAAAAATCCGAAGTTTTTCTGCCCTCATCCAAGGAAACAAGAAGTTCTTTGACAATAAAATGGAGAATAATCGTATGCAACAGAATATTGCTTTGTTTTCCCAGTAAGCAGCAGGACTGACAACCAGCACTGCAGGAATCCTGGCTGCAATCACACACCTCCTTTACATTTAAAAGGCAAAATGCTCAAAAAGGAAGGAGCACAAAAATGCAGCGCAGAAATTTTAATAGTCCTGGCTTACACTTTGGGTAGCCTGAAACAACACTCAGACCCAACCCACCACTTCAGGAGGTGCAGAGCCAGAGTAAAGGAGTCGTCATTGCCGGCAAAATGAGAGAAAAAAGCATCGCTGTGTTTCGAGTAAGCTGCGACAGGGACAGCCCAGCCGTGCCGGGAGATGTGCTCGGGAGGAATGACAGCACTTCCACCTCTCTGGCCGAGGGCATGCGTTTCTGTTGTGAGGCCATCACCACGATAAATAAAGGTGCAGCCAGCACAAGTTGTGCAACTGGAAAAAACACTTCATGCCCCCACATCCTACTCTTGGCTTCCCATGGGAAGGGCATGGTCAGAAGCGACAGTAAAATCCTCCAACTTGCTCAGATTTTAAATGAGTTTTGACACCGTGTGCCGCTGGAATTAAAAAAATGACAGCAAGAGAGAAACACAACCTTGCAACAAAATTCCCAGTACAGCTGTGCTACCCATCCAGAGTGGATAATGGCATAACTCCAGTGACTGCTCCAGTGTCCCCCAGGCTGAAACACAGAAACCTGCAAATTCAGTCACTGCTGATGCTAGCAAACTGCCACCGACGTCATCCAGATGGCTGGACCGACTAATTTCCTTCTGTTAAAGTATTTTGTATGCACACAAGACTACTCAAATAGTTATCTCAAACTTGGAATCTTCTTTTTGAGAGTGCTTGCATAATGCTTTTCATTCCTCTTACTTTTCATTTCTTAGTATTGAAATGCTCTAGTGAAAAATAAGTTAAAAAGCAAGTCTTGCTGCCATCACACTCTTGCATTATTTCTTGACCTGTACTGATATTATTTGTAGTAAATTCAGTTCTCCAAAGCATGTACTCGACACACATGTAGCACCTTTGTAGCCCTTGCAGAGCAGCAGTGCCAATGTTAAAATTATACTTGTTTGTAAATACTATGTAGCAAAGGAAGACAAATTTTACAAGCATTACTGAGAGACGAAATCTGTCTCTCTGTATGCAAACTGAAGGTCTACTGCAAATTCAGTATGGTTCTGAACTTTTAAGCTACTGCTGTAAAGTGTATCATGCAATTAAAAGTAATTCGGTTGCTCAAATGACTGAGAAAATACCAATATCTGATATAATCTTGAGAGCAAACTTCCCATGACTTTAAGCCTGGATCCTATATATATTTAGGAAGAAGGGAATGATTCTGTTCTTTTACAACAGAATGCAACAACGTAACTGAGTGACCGAAATACAAAAAAGTTCTTTGCACATACACTCACATCTATTTTTTATCAGAAAGTGCCATGAATAACAACAAAAAGAAGAGTAGTACCTAATATTCAAATCTAAGCATGATGTACCAATTCTATTTATTAAAAAAAATTAAAATAATATATTAATGGAAAAGCAAAACTTTCACCATTAGAACTGGATTTCATAATCCCTTGTATTTCACTTTTGGCCTGACCTGGGTTTTTTTGCCTTCTCTATTGCACAAACTGTATCAAAACTGCTACAGCAGCTTTGCTACCGATAGAAATCAGCATATCCAAGTATTTCTAAAAAGTTTCTCAACAGTGCTTTGAGTTTAAGCGTTTTAATACAACACTACCATAAGGTTTCATTAACACTTCCCAGAGAACTCTACTGGTGAGAAGGTGAAGTGGGATTTGCTCTCAGCGCTGACCCCCAACCTCCTCCTGCTGTGCTGCAGCCACTGAAGAGTTTTACATTCTCACCCTTCCACTCACTATTTGCACTTAAATATATACACTGAGCACATCGGCATTTAGGCACGATATCATTAGCGAGTGACCGAAGGGAACCATGAATAAGCTTCGTCGCATGAGCTGTCTCATTACAACTCTGTGTTGCTCGCATCACGTAACCCATTTATCCGCCAA